CATTATTTATAATGCTGTGATTTGTTTCGAAAGTTTTCTTCGAGATTTTATTACTTAGAATTAGAAAATAAATTTTAGATTAACTATTATAATTTTCGAAGTATAATTAATCCTAAGTATAAACATGCATTTCTTAATTAGTTAAGATTTTTTAAAAAAATTCTGAAATTCGAAAAATAAAATCTCTAAACTCAAACAGAGTTTAGAGAATTTATCAAAATTGATTTCATTGCCTTTTGTTTTGCTTTTATGAGTATTTTACTTTGAGTTTTTTCATCTCTCGGTTGTAGAGCATTGCTCCTTTAACTACTGTACTTCTTATTTTAATGGCTTGTCTTGATCCTTATAACTGCACCTGCTCGTATTCACGAGCTGTATTCGACCGCAGAAGACTTTTTCATCCAAGACCAAATCAACAGAAAAACACAGCTTTTTCGTTTAACTGTTGTTGCAATATTGACAGCAACAGCAACGACAACAGCAACGGCAATGGAAACGGCAACAGCTACAGCAACACCAACACCAACAACACCAGCATACAGTTATCAGACCGACGCGTCGCATTACGTATCTGTGCACCTTTAATAAAAATCATATCCTGCAGATTTCTTTTTATTGAGCGGCTTTGCTGTTTTGTTTCCATTTTGTGGTCTGCTTTTTGCTCAATAAAAGCAGAAGAAGCGTGCCAACTTAAAATTATGCACCTTTGCTCTGGTTTGCTTGCTTCTACAAAAAATCAGTACCCGACTCAAAGGTATCTGCTCATTATGTTTACCTCATTAATAACTGCAAGACCTGCACCGCAAAAATTGAAGGCAGCCTGGACACTTTCGTTTGTGTCGATTTGCTCCAATTTTCATTAAATTTTTGTTCCCGAATGTTTCGCAATCTGCGGTTAATTGCAGTAAAAGTGCGGTTTAGCTTTCGTGTTAAACTCATAATCTGTTTTTATTGCACTTTTCTTTTACTTGCATTGTATAAGTGCAATGCAAATAGTATGGAACTGTTGTGTCTGGCTTTATCCTTCAGAATTTATATTTTGGTTCACCGCGTGGCAATCAATATTCGTAAAAAATATTGACTGTGACTGTTATGTAAAACGGCAACTGGTGTCACGTGCCAAAGCGTAAGTCTTTCAAATTTTCATACTTAAAAGTAATTCTTTTGTTTTTATTTTAAAAATTCATTCCATTTGCAGTGGCTATGTGGCTATGTTTTTATTTTTTAATTGTAGCTGTTATATAGATCTAAAGAAGGCTTTTGTACCATGTCACCAAGTCAATGCATCGTGTGAGGATTATTGAGACAATTGTATAAGAAATTATATAAAAAATTTCCATAAATAGGTGATTCTAATTTAGCCATGGCAATTACATACATCAGTAAGGTCAAATACTCTCTGTTTTAACTAGATTTGAGATTGTACAACAAATAAAAAGCACATTTGCCGATTAATGGAGCAAATGTTCTATGGAGTTAGAATGCATCCGAAATAGGTTGTGTCGAGATTTTGCATAACATCGCAACTAACGATTTAAAATATTTATTAACATATTTTAATATCGTGAAAATTGTGTTACTGACTCAAAAGGGAACTAAATTCCTTTCGAAATAATTCAATTTGACTCAATTCCAGCCCAATGAAGACTTAGAATATGACTCAGAGGAAGAAGAACTCATCTCCGAGAAGGCATATAATATTCTGTATCAGCACAAACAAAGAAATCTCCCAAATCATAGCGAGATTAAAAATAAAATCGCCACCTGGCAATTATATAATTAACAACAGATGCCTACGTAGTCTTCCGGAGAATGCAATCCAGCTTATCACTAACATAATTAATTGCATGCTCAAGCTAGGTGAATTTCCTAAGTCCTGGAAGCTGTCCACAGTCATTGTCTTCCCAAAACCGGATAAGAACTCTCAATTCCCGCAGAACTGGCGCCCCATAAGCCTGCTATCAATTATAGGAAAGCTAGCCGAAAGGGTAATTCTTGGCAGATTGAATGCTGTAGGGGCTTCATACAATTTACTCCCTGACGAGCAATTTGACTTTAGGAATGTCCTGCCCATGGAGTTTCAACTGGCTAGAACGGCCTAAATGATACAGACAGCCCTTAGTAGAAGAGAGTCGACTTGAATGGTCATTTTTGATATTTTTAAAGCTTTTGACAAGGTCTGGCATGATCGGCTGATAGTAAAAATGTCTCATCTAGGTGTTAAAGGCAGACTAACTAAGATCATCGGCAGCTTCCTATCTGGGAGGTCCTTTCGCACGAAAATCAACAGCGCTCTCTCGTCAGTCCGATCTATAGAAGCAGGGATTCCTGAGGGATCGCCACTTTCCCCTACTCTCTACAATATTTATACATCTGATATTCCAATGTTAAGTCCCTCGACTCTGGCGTTATATGCTGACGATATGTGTATGCTATACTCAGAAAAATGTGCTCTCAACTTAACCAACACATTTCAAGAGCATATAAACCTCATTCTGGAGTATTTCCAGAAATGGAAAATAAAAATCAATAATGAAAAACTAAGACTCCGTTTATTACGCGTAAGTGGAGACAGAATCCGTCGAGAGTGAGAGTGGGAGATATGGTAATTAAGTGGGAGAATAGCGTTAAATATCTCGGCATCATGTTGGAAAAACGATTCATATGGCTTAAACATGTTCAAGTAAAAAGAATTACCTGTGCCAAAATTCTTCATCACCTCCAACCGCTATTCGGAAATGAAAATCTCAATGTTAAGAATAGGAAGCTGATATATAAGCAAATAATTCGTCCGTCACTTCTATATGTATGTGCGGCGTTTAGCAAAGCTTCAAACACTACTATTCGCCAGCTAGGCAAAGCCAAGCTCTGAGAAGAGTTTTCAAGGTACCATGGTACATTAGGACGAATGACATCCTCAGGGATCTCAGGATTCATCCGATCAAAAAATACATAAAGGATAGAGCCTTGAAATTATTTGCAAAAACTGACAGACCGCGTTATCGAATCTCAGAATAGGAGAATAGCTACAGGCTTCTCGGGAAGGTATGCAGATCTACCTTTCCGTGAACCGATTTCTCTTTTCTTCTTTTATAAAAAGTCTTATCTATTTAGAAAATTCCTGTCTAAATATCTTTGCTATAGATATATTAACTACCAGTTGTCTAAAAAAATTTATGTTTAGTCACAAATGCTAAGAAATTGTCCTGGCTTAGCTGTATTATAGTCCAGAATATTACCAAAAAAAAGCAGATTGATCAAGCATAATTAGTTTAATCTTAAAAATAAAAATTAAAAAAAGCTCCAAATTTGATGAACGTCCAAGTTGTCTAGTGTGTGACTTTAAATTTACATAGTTTAAAACCACTTATTGGCATTGCAAATAGCACTTATTACGGATATTTGGCATTATCTAAGGCATCTGTATGGTTAACCCAAAGAATTCACTTTTTTAGAAATTAATTTTTGTGATTCAATTTTTTAATAGTTAAACAATTCATCTATCCTACTAATTTATTAAAAAAAAAAAATTTGAATTACTAATATTATATATAATATTACATTACTATTAACATTATTTATGTGTTAAGGCTTCAGCTAAAACTGCAATAACATTTCTATTACTTCTGTGCAAAGCGTGGTGAAATTGTTGGTCAGTAGTTTTTTGTTTGGTTTATGTGTTAACTGAGAACATCGCTGAATACCGTATGTCTCTACGGTCTATGTGTACGGTATTTGTTTGCAGTAGAAAATGATTGCTGATTAATAAAAAATTTATTGCACTACTTTAGGATGTTTAAAAGCGAAATTAAAAATTTATTGTATATAAAATCAACTTCTAATTATATAAAAAAATAAAACTATTAAAACATATTTAGTTTATTATGAAGTTTTTAAAATTTAAGCAAGCTTCGATCTTTTTTTATATAAGCCTTTTCCTTTAGAAAAGACATGTCTGTGACAAAAATCACATCAATTTCATCGTGAAAGCTCTGCTGAAGACATGAAACTCATGTATCTTATGTTATAAGAGAAAATATATTATTAATCCTTCAAAATTTCAATTTTTGCAATTTTATTCGGTTATGATAGATACTCACATGCTTAGCAAAAAAAGAACTGGCTGCAGGTTTGAGATTGGCAACTCAAATGAACGTAATATCGGTGAAAAATAAAAAAGGGAAAAAATATTTTGTCGTACAGTTTGGATATCTTGAACAGTTTGTATATTCGTTTTATATCAGATAGTTTCAATACTGTAAAGGTCCTCACAGTTTAAGTTATTTGAATAAATAATATTGTCTAAAGCTTGTAGAATATTTTTTAAATTGAATAGTTATAATTTTTATATGATTTATGGATTTTCTCATATCCATGAATGTTTTCTTTGTGAATGTAGTTTGTTATATAAATAAAGAAATAATATTAATAGCATTTCATTTGTTATCATTTTTTGTAGTTAAATAAATGAAAATTTTCTCGTTACAACAGCATTAGATATTTTTATTCAATCATAAGTTGCTACGAATTAAAATGGGTATAAATTCAATCAAAATTAAAGAAGTTTATACACATATTATCACATTATTTTAAGTACTCATTTATTGAAAACGAAAGTAGTGAAATGACTATTAATGATGATTTCAATAATTAATAATTAGAATTAAAATAAGGAAAACTATCTTTAGAACCATATAACATAAACATCATGACCTATTCGAATAGTAGAATTGAAGTAAAACGATCAATTCAAGCTGCTTGAACTATTCCAATTATTTAATAATTTAGATAGTTTAGATGCTTAGTAACTTAAAAAATACAACTAACTTCAGGTAAATATACTGTTTAGAAATAATAAATTGAATAAGTTAGAAACTAAATCATGTGTTAAACTTTAAATAATTAATTGTTAATTCTTTTAACAACTCTTTTTTTTTAAATATATTTTGTTTTAAATATTTTTCTATTTTTTTTACACTAATTTGAAGATATCAATCATATGTTATATATTTAAACTCTATTGAAGATCTCATATCTTCAAGTATAAAGTCGTCTCATTTCAACTCCTCAAATGCCTGTCGCAACATTTGATTACAAAGCGCTGCAAAAGGATTTATTTCGACCAACTAAAAATGAATACAAATTTTTTATTATTTTATATACATATTCTATATGGATATTTATTTAAAATTATAGTTTACCTGTGTTCTTGCAAATTGACTTCCCAACTTTGCAGCTTCATTGAAATCCGAGCGTGCAGCCTCCAAATTTTCACGCTTCCGGAATAAAACTCCACGTTGACAAAGCGCATGGCATTTTGTTTTTAATAATTTTTCAGTACATAAGTCAATGGATTTACTTAAATCAGAAAGTGCTTCTAAAATATATAAACAATTGAAAAAATTATAAAAATTGTGTATTAAAAGTTATTAATAAATAAATTAATAAGTTAGAAAAATTTTGATTGAGATTCCCAAACTTCGATCGTAACAAGAAAGAAACCAGCCCATCAAAAATAAAATTAGTAGAGTATTATACTCTGTATATAAAGAACTGCAGCAACTAAGGAAGTACCTCGAAGAAAACCTGATTACAGTAGTTATTTTTATTTTACTGTAGTCATAATATAGTTTTTACAATATCAAAGTCCACGCGATATCCTCTGAGAAACATATCTACACATCCATTTAATGAAATAGCTGAAACCATGTAATATTTAAAACTAAGTAGGACTCCAGAAATAGACAACCAGTTACCTGACTTTTTGTGTCGTATACAATTTTCTAATATTTTTATACATGAAGAAGTTGTTGAGTATTTGGTGTCTCATTTATAAATTTTATAATTTAAAACAAACTTTCCGTTATTTAAGAAGAAGTCTAAATGATTTTCTTTTTTTATTAAATTTTCAATCACCAATCTCTATTTTTAGTTGGTAAATTTATTACAATATATGAAGTTCTCAAAATGGCACTTAAGAGCTACTGTAAACGATTTTTTATGATATATTTGAAATTAATCTACTGTAATTGATGTATTCATTGTTATTGGTTGATGAGAATATTTTAATATGTTTTATTATTATATGACAATCATACAAAAAACGCAAAGGAGTTACGAATCCTTTAGTGAGGGAAGTTGTTCTTAAGATGAAAAGAGAACGTTGGAGTGGCAGTACGAACATTTTTTGTGAAGCATTGATGCAATTGCACAATACCAAGTTACAATCTCAGTAAGTTTACGAAGTGCAAGTTGCTGAAACTCGAACGATTTTTCATTTTTCCTTTACTAGATCAGTCCATGAATTTTCTTCTGTATTGGTGAATTTATCGAAGTTCGTAAACCAAATCAAAATATTGAATTTTGTGATGAGATCTCGGGCACATTTATTTCGGAGCCTCTTTATGCCTTCAAGGTCGTGACTTTTGATATACTATTGTGTAGGAATCAACAAAGAGTTATCTTGTAATAATCAATATCCTTTAGTGCAGCACAATATTTAATTATAATACTGGACTGGTTTGGACTGGTTTATAAAGATAGTAATCTAGGTCGAATCGCCGTAAATTGTATTAGCCTGTTAGCCTGGATGGTATTTCGATCCTATATATCTCAACATGAACAAGAATCTGAGAGACCTTATCTCACTCGTACCTCTCTTCATCATTGGATCATCAGTATTGGTGTTGACATCACAGCTATTTGCCACAAATTCCGACTACCAGCTTTCCATTATAGAGTATAGAGTAGCAAATAGACTTCTAGTTTCAAAGTTCAGGATTGTTGTCATATAGTCTATAGGTGATCTTAAACCTGCATTCATTACATCACTATTTCTTTTTTGGATTTCATGCAAAATTTTACTGTCTATATAGTAAGACAATATCCACACTTAAGACTATCATAATCTGGAAGCATATTTGACTGTAAAGCTTGTGGCTTTTTTGTGCACCACAACATATACCTTTTGAGATATTCGGGACAGTCAACATCTGTATTTTTTTAACACAAAATTGATTACATTTTTTTATCTAACGCCACACTACGGATTCATAGGTAATAATTGGCCAGAAAATCGTTATGCAAATAAAATTATAAGCTGAAATAATTTCTAATACTTCTTAAAGATCTTTTAACCAATGTAGTAAACAACTGATCCATTCTTATTTTTTTGCTCAACATTTCTTAGTCAAAAACCGCTTATAATTAACTGCAGGCGAAGAATCAACTTCACTCTATTCATCAGGGGCAAACTGAATTTACATATTTTGATATTTCATATAAAGAAACCAAGCTCCATTTTAGCAGAATTATCTTTTAAAGTATTATTTAAAAAATAAGAATACTTTGAAAATTATTTGCATGAGATTATAAACTAGTCACGTCAATAAAATTTGTACTTCCACGCACTTAATTTTTAATCAACTTTGTAATGTAACTCGTGATAAAGTTCATTTCATTCAGTTTTTTTTTACTCCTATAAATATGCAATTTAATTGTGTATAATAATTATATATATGTACTCTTATAGACAGACTGGGGTTCTGACAAATTTTGACCGATGTGTACTTAAATAATTCGACGTATTTTCAAAATTTGATATTTGCTTATATTTCTTAGAGATATGTTTCCTAGAGATATATATATTTCCTATAGAGATAAAATAGATATTATAGATTTAAAAAGGATAATAAGGATAATAAGAACTTACAATTATTGTAATTTGGAAACATAACTGCAACACTAAACAAACATATATATGAATATTTTAATTATATTTTGAAATAATTAATTTTATATTTGATTCTCATATTATATTTTACATGAGAAGCATATTTTCGTGTAAAAAATATGTTTTTACTTTTATTTTTAAACTTTAATTGGCTAGCTATATTTAAAATCACTTCTTGGTGTTAACAAGTTCATATAACATAGGTCTTTTCAAAACAAAAATTTGGAGCAACTAAAAGTCTTTTTGGGTTAAATGTGCTTTGCGCTGCCAATTGCAACTTGAAGAATGCAACTTCTCCTTGCTTCGAGAAAGAAAGTGTTTAATTGTTTCTTTCATGCTCTTATCTTGACAGCTTCTAAAAAACTTTCTACTGGGTATACATAATCTAATCGCGTGCACATCATACAATGAGCTATTAGAGCGGACATCAGCAGATCTAAACTACTTCTTGTTAAGTGGAGGCGAGTAGATACTCTTTTCTTTAATATATTTGCGATTAGTTGTCTTGATATATGGCAGGTGTGCTCTATCTCCAGTCATTTTCTGCTTTTTTCTCTTATTTGTCTAAGAAGGGACTTAGAGAAGCAAACCGAAATATCCAAAGAAGTAGTGACACATCTGATCAGATTATCAATTACATTACACAATTACAATGTACAGTAGATCAGCTACAAACAGAATAGTATTGAAATTTAACAAATTAAAATAAAAAAATATAATATGGTTTCTTCTAATATAAATACAAGTGAATTTGTTAATAAAACTTTCACAGCAAAGTAGCAAAACTCCAGACAAATGTGCGAACATAAAAGTCAAGTACGGCTCTGGTGCGCTGACTCCGAGCTTCAAATTTGGCAGGGCACGAGTTCGCAGTCTTTAAAAATTATTTACGAATAATTAAATACAATAATTATTTCCAAGACCACTGATGATGGATATTTGGCAATACTCGAAACAGCTATATGGTCAGCCAAAAATTCAATTAATTAAAATAATATAAAATAATTTTTGTTGTTGTAGTTCATTACTTTTCGAAAACCTCTTCATTATTTTATGTATTAACTACATCGAAAATATTTCACTATTATTTTACAATTATTAGTTCTAAGATTAATATGATTTCTAATATTCTCATGTTTTTAATATTAATATGCAACTAACAGGAATCATTCTTATATATTCATTCTTATGTTAACTTTTTCCTGACATATAATCAAACACTCGTAGATTAAAATTTGAGTTCGTATCTATTCAAAATTTTGAACTTACCATCGTCACTCTTCATCAAACGCAGTGCTTGTGCTCGATTATTATAAATCGAAGCCCGCTCAGGTGCCACGTTTATTGCTTCTTGGAAGCTTTGCAATGCTTCATTTAGCTTTCCCTCTTCTGTTAATTTAATGGCTTCCACTTCTAATAATTTGGCCCTTTTCAAATCTTCTAAATTAATTGTTTTATCGTCTTCCAACTCGTGGTCAATTAAATCAGCTTCTGCTGAAATTGTAGTGACGTCAGCAAAGCTACTCAATTCCAACGGATTGAAAACGGAATCTAACACCTGTCGATCGTTGGCACTCAAACACTCGCGTGTGAATTTCTGCGGCATTTTTTCGTGAAATAATTAGTTTTTTAATAAAATTATTAAATAAATATATTTTTATTAATTAATGTTTTAACTTTGAGTTTCCAACGAACACTGAAAATTATTTCTATTTCATAGATTTCATGCATTGAATTGATTGTCTGTTAAACACGTTGAAATGTAAATCAGGCAGTTGAACAGGTTAATTATCTCAAGTTTGTTATTTGTTTTCTATAAAATTATTTTAAAATGTAAACAAAATCTAAAACTTGATTAAGATATAAGATGTTCTAGTTCAGAGCACTATAAAAAATATTAAATTTATTATATATTATTTATATATTATTATTAAATATATTATTTAATTAATAAATTAAAAAAATTAAATTGTGGGAAGAAAATGTTCACTCTTTGTAAATTTAAATTTAGTGTTTTATAAATTTTTATACCCTCTATTGTTATCATTTGCGTGAATTCCTGCTTAGATAAGGAGAGTAATGCATATAACAATATCCGTCTGATTGGTCATTTAAATACTTTTGTAATAGAATTTTGGATGTCGGAGTACAATTTTTGGCAACTAATTATGTTGGCATAAGTGCGCAGATCAAAAAGGGGGACTACTTTAAAGGGAACAGAATAAAAAAACTTAAGTTTAAACTTAAGGTTAAAAAAAATTAAAAATTGTCATTATTATTACAACACATATGTTATACCCGGAGCAAAAAGAATTAATTTTTTTTCGGTTTGCATTTCGAGTCGAGTCGGATCGAGTCGGATTAGGCTTTCACAATAATTGAAGGTTCAAATACATTTCGTTTTGTGATTAATTTGTATATTTATTATATTTTTCGGGAAGTTGGATGTACATTTTTGTGGGGAAAAATTTAGTATTTACCAATTAATTTTCTCGAAATATTTCTAAAATCTAAACTAAAGTGAATTCGATCGTCATTGCCAAAGATTATAGTAGGGATATGTTATGATTGCATGATTGTTATGATGTTATGATTCCCCTCAGTTAGCTTTAATTTTAATACATGAATAATATAAACTAATGGTTTTAAATTAACAAGAGGTTTATGCTAGAAAACTCTCAATGACTTAGTCTGCAGATCAGCAATGCCATTCACTTTTAAAAGCATTCTGAAAGATGCATTGTTTGCTGCAACATAAACTAGTGGAATGATTGAACCATACTTGCTAAGATACAAACGAAATTAAAATGTCACAGTCAATAAGGTTTAAAAGAGATCCAGGAACAACGAATAATTTGTTCATATATAGGTAAACATGATCGAACGACTTTTGATTTCAATAAGACTGCACTACATATGTCTGCTATACGAGTATTGCTAAAGAAATTAATTCATCAGATACAGTCTTAATTATTCGAAAAAATTATGAAAAATACTGTTTTTAAGAAGCATAGGGTAGGAGTACGGGGTACCAGCTCCCAACGGAGCAGAGCACTGCGACCATGATTGACCATTGAAGGCCATTGAAGACCTCCTAATGTCAGAAGCGAGGAGTAATTTTTGACCCCGTGACCTCCTCCTGCACCAAAACAAGGTTGGGCAGTCATGTGACTGGAAGTCTCGTCTGCTTCTAAGCGGAGTCGACAATCTATCTTTTCGGACAGACCCATTTTGTTAAGGTGATAACGCAGTCCATGGTGACCCGTTCAGTATCCCACCAGCAACCTCAACTCTATTTTGCTGAAGAAGGATACCTTACCATAACTTTAGGGATGAACCACCTCTTTAGCGTAACGGTTGCCTGAAATTTCGCGCCAGTAGCGACATTTCCGGTCAACAGACCGGAATCATTTACTATCATTACTTCCAAAAAATTATGTATCAAATAAACGTAAAATATCAACACTATGACACTATGGAGGCAAAAAAAAATTTAATTAATAAAATTTTTGTTTCAAAATTCAATAATAATTATTAAATTAATTTCTAAACCGAAAAGTTTTTAAACAGAAATAAGTTGGAACAACAAAATGTTTGCATTTTTTTGGTTGATTTTTTTGGTTTGGTTCAGTTCTTTTGACTATTTCAAATCGAAATACTATAATTAGTGATCTTTAGATATAAACTATTGGAAAGGTTCAAACAATAATAATAGTAAAACAGTATACTATAACCAAAGAATCTATAGTACAAAGAAGTGCCACGCTCATACAAACGAAATACCCACTTTATTTTGCTGGTGGATTTATAATAAATCCACCCAACCTCATGCAACAATGTTTGATCGAGGCACAACTGGTATGATGTTCAGTTCAAACCTATATGTGAGTCAAGTAAGGCTGACAAAAGCCCGACTGCATACGTATTCAATCATACATGTAACCCTCTGTAATACATTATATGCATGTTTGTATGTTTGTTCGCTGTAAAATGTTCAAGTGATCAAACAGCATTTCAGTGACGAAGTCAAAATTGTGTACATTTGATAAGTTTTTGAATTTAATAGTATATAAAACAAAATTCCCTGTTTGCTATTGTTATGAATTGTAGTGTAAAAACACATTACAAATTTATTTATGTCTCAAATCTGATTTTTTCCATTCTATGAAGCTTTTTTTTTAAATGTTGTCCATGCGCAATGTTTCAGAAGCAATATCGTAATCACCAATTTTAACATTTCAATCCGGTGTAAATAGCATTCATGCGTTTCCTCAAACCAGGAAGCATTATTAGTGGTTTTAGTGACTTCTATACATTTTTTCAATATAATTTTTCTTACTTTATTAATATTTTTATTTTCTTTAAAATACTTTTCAAACACTTATGTGAATCTTAAAAATATTTTTTAAAATAATTACAAAAAGTCACCAAAAATTCAAACTAATAAGAAGTAGTTCCTTTTGAGGTAAAATATATGCACAAATGTGCAATAAAAACATACCTATTTATGTACTGCAGACTTAATGTCTCCAATATCACATTTGTACATACATAATAGTTTTTGTAGTGCATCATTTTTTGCAATAAAAAAAAAATATATTCTATTACTCTTTACTCCTATGATATGAGCCATTTCAGTACAAGAAAATAAAGCAACAAAGTATATGGTAAAATTGTTTCAGGGATTTCTTTACCATTCACTTCGCTACTAATCAATGTATATTAATTAAATAGACAAATAAAAACAAGAAAGGCAAAAGAAACAGGCGTATAAAAACAATTGTGGGTTGCAATGAGTTTGAACTGGACATCATACCAGTTGTGACTCGATCGAACATTGTTGCATGAGGTTGGGTGGATTTATTATAAATCCACAGCAAATAAGTGGGTATTCGTTTAATGACGTGGCACTCTTTGTACTATGATTCTTTCTATAACAGTAGTTTATGGTCTATAATATAACAATAGTTTACAGTCTATAAACTAATTAAATAAAAATTCAAATATTTCCTGAGATCACTGATGGTGAGTACCTGGTAATACTCGAAACACGGTTGTATGGTCAGTCGAATTTCAATAAATTAATCGAATTTTTGTTGTTGCTTTTTCATTACTGTTTGAATCATTCTAGTTCCTTTTCATCATTTGACGAGTCATATTCCGCAAAAAAATCTGTTAGTTTTTTAGCTTGTATATAATTTCATAGATCATATGTGCCAAGCTTTGGACTTTAAACTTTCAAAATTTTGACAAAAAAAGTTTCGTTAAATAATAACGATCGGTTGAGATAAACAACGAAACATCATAATCACGTAGTGAGCGTATTTTGGCAAGTCGTGTTGGAACAGCAAAGCAAAACAATAAATTCGGTCGAAGTTATTTAAATAAAATCATTCTTTATTCATAACAAATACTAAACTTTTAATATTTAATAATTTAAAGAAAAAAAATATAATGTTCTCTATCATAATGTAATAAAAAACATTGTTTAATTTTTTAAAAACAATTTATTTATTTTTCTTTAATAATTTCTTGTTAATATTTTTATGTATAATATAAATACCAAGGACAATATTTAATATAATATTTTTGCTTTTTAATTTAATAATAATTTATAATTTTAATAATAATTTTAATAATATTAAATCAGCGCTTTGTTCTTATAATAATTCATTTTTCTTTTTAATTTTTGTTTTTTTTTTTGTTCAATTTATTTTCTTTGCTATTCTAATGCGGTTTACTTTTTAATAAATACAATTCAATATATTATTTAGCATTAAATTTATTTTTTAAAAAAATTAGTTTAAATGTTTAACTTTATTTATATAATTTTTTTTCATTTTATTTATAATTTTTTACTATACACACAACTAAATTGTAAAATTTTATAATTAACCCTTTACTATCCAATGGTGTTTTGAAAATGAATTTTAATATTTTTATATAAAATTTATTATTTTATAATAAAACAAAAATCATATATATTCATATTTTCATAAATTTTTTTCTGTGTTATTTTTATTAACCTTTCTGCACCTTTTGTTTAGTAAAGCGAAATATTTAAAATATTCAGAGTAAATATATTATTTAATTTTGAAAAATTATTAAAATAATTAATCGAAATTTTAAGAAACTTCGGTGTGTGTTTAATTATTCTCAGTGCTTTGATTTATTAATCTTCAACCTTTTCGTTACCTGCTTAACTTGTAAATTTATGTAAAAATGAAAAAAGTGGTTTTTGCACAAAAATAAATTTTATTTTTATATTTTTTACTAATTTTGCGACTACATATGTATCGTATTTATTTGTTCCTGACTATGTACTTTACTACATTTAATGATTTTTTTATTTAATTTTATTTCTCAAAAATTGTAGGTGGCACGTGAAGTTATTTAATTTGTAATTTACTTTCTAGCTGCTAAACTATTTACTATATTTCGATTTCTCATTCTTTTTGCATCATTAAATTCTCTTTAATTGGTGTCCTTAAAATGGTTTCTAAAAACAAAAAATATGCAATTTTTCATACTAAATAATAATTGTGCAAAATAAGTATAAATACTGGTTTAATTGATTTTAGTATTATTTATCTCAATTTCAATTTTAAAGGTGTAACATATGTGGGCGTATTTTATAATTCCTTTCTCAATCTTCCCGGTTTGTA